GGGGGGGGGGGGGGGGGGGGGGCAGGGCTGGGCTAGCAGGGGGCTGCAGGTCGGGAGTGAGGGGCACCGGCAGAGCTGGGGGGGCTGCGGTTCGGGAGTGAGGGGCACCGGCGGAGGTGAGGTTGGGGGGGGGACGGGAGAAGCCGACAGATGCCAGTGGCTTGTGGGCGGCAAGCGATTGACTCTGCAATACACAGCGTAGGAGGGAAGGAGACAGACAGACAGAATGACGGACAGATTGTGTTGGGGAGGGGAGAGGAGCTGTATTTCACAACACAGAGCCTAAGAGACAGGAGCCCCCCCCCCCCAAATCCCAGCTGACCGACCCCCACCAGGGACCCCCACCGGCTGCATCTGTCGCCCGGCGCTGAGATGCGGCCACCTCTGGGGCAGGGCGGCTGGTTACACGGGGACCCCTCGCCCGGCGCTGAGAGGCAGCCACCTCTGGGGCGGGGCGGCCGGTTACCCAGGGACCCCTCGCCCGGCGCTGAGAGGCAGCCACCTCTGGAGCGAGATGGCTGGTTACACGGGGACCCCTCGCCCGGTGCTGAGATACGCCAACCTCTGGGGCGGGGCGGTTGGTGACACGGGGACCCCTCGCCCTGCGCGGAGATGCAGGAGGGAAATGTATCAGACCTGGCTCCCAGCCCCCCAAGCTGGGGGAGAACCCAGGCGTCCGGGCACTCACTGATGATGTAGTAGTCCTGGTTGCTCTTGAATTCGTGGCCCCAGAGGTTGGGGCTGAATTCCTGGAACTTGATGGTGAATCGCACGTCGTGCTCGGGCCGGTCGCACGTCAGCAGCAGGTTGGGGGCCCGCAGGATCTCGCATGCCCGGGCCTGCTCGCCCAGCACCAAGTACAGCTTGTAATATTCATACTCCTCCGCTGAGAAGGGGCCTGGCGGGCGGGACCGCGGGCAGATCAGGTCCAGCCGGTCGCCGATCTGCGGGTACAGGACGTAGCCGCCCGCCGCCTGGAACCTGCCGGAGATGGGGCGTCAGAGAGGGGACCCCAACCCGTGTCCCCCTGAGCCAGCCAGTTCCCGCCATGGGGCCAGAGGGGAGCCGGCGCCCCCTAGAGGGGACAGGCCCCTGCCCCATTCCCTGCCCCCCTGAGCCAGCCAGGCCCCTCCAGACAAACCAGCCACCCACCTGGCAGCAGGGCCCCTCCCGGCCCTTGTCTATGTGAAACACCCATCCCCTCACCCCTCTGCTGCCTCCCTCAGCCCCGCACCTGGGGGAGCCACCCAGACCCACCCCCGCCCAGAGTTGGGGGAAAGATCCCAATCAGCTGCCTCTGGTCCCCGAGGGACCCCTCACCTGGCGCGGAGATGCGGCCACCTCTGGGGCGGGCTGGCTGGTTACCCAGGGACCCCTCGCCCGGCACTGAGATGCAGCCACCTCTGGGGCACGGCACAGCTACTACTCTAGTGGTTTGGGGGCGCGGGCCTGGGAGCCAGGACTCCTGGGTTCTATTCCTGGCTCTTGGAGGGGAGAGGGGCTAGTGGTTAGAGCAGGATGTGAGTGGGCTGGGACTCAGGACTCCTGGGTTCTCTCCCCGGCTCTGGGAGGGGAGTGCGGGTTGGTGGGTCAGAGCAGGGGGGGCTGGGAGCCAGGACTCCTGGGTTCTCTCCCTGGCTCTGGGAGGGGAGTGGGGTCTGGTGGGTTAGAGCAGGGGGGGCTGGGCGCCAGGACTCCTGGGTTCTCTCCCTGGCTCTGGGAGGGGAGTGGGGGCTGGTGGTTAGAGCAGGGGGGACTGGGCGCCAGGACTCCTGGGTTCTCTCCCTGGCTCTGGGAGGGGAGTGGGGGCTGGTGGTTAGAGCAGGGGGGGCTGGGAGTCAGGACTCCTGGGTTCTCTCCCCGGCTCTGGGGGGGGGGGGGGGGGTGGGGGGGGGGGGGGGGGGGGGCTGGGAGCCAGGACTCCTGGGTTCTATTCCTTATCTATGCCAGAGTCAGGGCTAGAACCCAGGCGTCCTGACGGCCACAGGCCTTTAGCCCAAGAGCCGATGTAACGCCGAGGGGCGGGATCGAACCGGGGACCTCTGGAGCGTAGCACATGAGCCTCTACCGCATTTTCTCTCTAGGACCGGCGGCCTGATTTCGCGGTTCCGGGGAATTTCCCCTGCGTTTCCTCGGCCAGCCCGGGCCCCGTCCAAGCCCCGTAACACCTCCCCCCCCACCCCCGGAGTCTGCACATATCGATACGGGCCAGAGCAGACCATCACGCCCACTGCTCCCCACCTCATCCAGCCCTCCAGGTCCCCTCCCGCCCTCCCCACGCCACCGCAAAGCAAGATCTGAAAATCGTCCGCCACGCCCGGCAGCCTTTGATCTCTTGGTCCTCTGCGAATCCCGCAGAGGCCCAGGGTTCTCTCTCGACTCTAGGGGCAAATCCTCGGCCGGCGAAGACGCAAGAGGCCCTGAGTTTTTCAGTCAGATGCCATGCTGGGGCGCGAACCCTTCGTCTTTCCCACTGGCACATCTATTTTGACTAAGGGCAAGTGATTTGAGAGGACGCTGGCGTTGTAATGATGCTGTATCGCTCAGAGGGGCCGCTGGTTTGCGGCTTAGCTATCTGGTCAGAAGGCTGGATTTTACAGCGCTTCAAGGGGCACTTTTGTGGCTGACGGACTTAAAAAACAAAGTCCGGTCTTTCGAACACAAGCGGAGGTCGCTTTGAAAATGACCCAGGCGCTGCTCCCCACCCCAAAGCCAGCTGCATCGGAGCGTTAAAGGTCTGATCAGAAGTCACACGAATCGGTGTCGATTCCCGGCTGCTAAAGTCTGATCCGTGTACCTCCCGGATGTTAAAACATTCATTTGCGATCAGACCAGCTCAAACAGATGGGGCCTGCCTCTAGTTAATAAGAGAAACTCATTTTCAGTGGCTTGGCGCATCCGTCGGGCATTGCATTTGCCTTCTTAATTTTAAGCAAATGACAGCATTCGTGAGGAATAACTCCACCAGAATGACTTCTGGCCAGCTTCATCAAAACCGACAGCGATGACCGAGAATAGCCGCCGGAATATTTCCTGCGTCCTTCCGGCCTGGGCAGCTAAAAATTGTCCCAATGGCTTCCAAAACCAGGATTCGGGGGCAGGAGTTTGCGGGAGAAATCTGAGCTCTGGCTGGGAAAGGGAGTCCCAGATTTTTCCGCTTTTGGAAAACGTCCGGTTTGAAGATCATTCCAAAAAAATCAGTTGATGGATCCTCGCCGGATTGGAAGCCGAAAATCTTCATGGAACCCCCCTCCCAAAATGGGGCTACTGGATGGTCACAGATACGGTTTCTGGCTGGGCTGCAGAAGATCCCAGAAAAAAACTGGTGCCGAGGGAAACTCAAGAGAGAAACTGGTTTGCGGGGAGCCCGTTCCCTCCAGCCTCGGGTGTCCCAATCCCCTACCACGCACACACAGAGACACAGCTCGTGGTCCCGGGAGATTTAGAAGCCTTCCACTGAGTCTCAGACCGCTAGGTTCCAGTTTCCCCCAAGGGGTTCCCATTGATTTCGCCAAACAGCCCAAGCGGTGCTTAATTTTTACATTCGCGACTGATGCAGAGGTGCCGGGGCTCTGCCCAGCCAAGCCCTGGCCCAAATTAAGCGCTGGGCCCGAGTGATCTTTGAAAATGGGACTTGGTGTTCGGGGTTTTTTAAAGCCGGTCAACAATTTTCTAGCCTTAGGCCGGTCAGGCGATCGGCGTGTGTGTGTGTGTTTATATATTTATATAGGAGTGTCAGAGATCTAAGCTTGTGCGTGTGTCCAAGATCATGTCCTAAGCAAGCCAATGGTTTGCTTTAAAAAGAAAGTGGCGTTAAAAAAATGACAAGACGTATTCCCAGACACACACACTGCCCGCTCCCCAAGAGACAGCAACATTGGTCCCCATACGCCAATGTCGCCAGCGGCTGATCTGGTCCGATACGTTCATTCTGCGCCGTGAAATAAATACATTTTAAAAATAAAGCGGCCTCTCTTTTTATTCTGTTTTAAGATCCACACATCCGTTGGATGTGGGGATGGGGGGGAGGGAAAAAAACCAGCCAGGACGCCGCCGAAAAACACCCTTCTCCCTCGATCTGCAAGGAGAGGCCGCTGGGAGACGGCGAACCCCTTTTTCAGGCCTGGGGGCTGGTGGAAAAGATTTAGACAAATAGATCCATTAGCTCGAGTATGTATTTGTTGCTAGGAAGCGCTGCCACACGCTGATGGGAGTAATTGTCGCGTTGACGAATGCTCCATATTTCTGGCAACCAGGCTCCATCCCTCGCCAGCCTGTCGGACCCCCGAAAACTTTGTCGTTTGCTCCGGAGGGGGAAGGGGGTTTTGATTGAGCCCGGAGCAGATGCAAGACTCGGGTGGTTTCGATGGATCTCGTGTCTGGAATGATACGGCCAGGAGGGAAGAAAACGTATCTTCCAGATCTACCCGGGCAGAGAGAAATGCCTGCTTTGACCTATCGGCCCCCATAAAGCACAGTCCAGCAAACAGAGGCCCGTGTGCGAAATGAAAAGGATCCACAGAGCCCCACAACACAAGCCAAGACCCAAAGGTCAGTCTCAAGAAGCCATCTGGAGCGGGATAAATTCATATATTCTGCTTTGAGCAGAGGGTTGGACAAGATACCTCCTGAGGTCTCTTCCAACCCTGATCTTCTATGATACCCAGTCAGTCGTTTCAAGGGGATATCAAACTACACACAACTTTAAGAAGCTGCCAGTATAAAGCTAAAGAAACACACACGCACACACACAGAATAACTAATTTTAAGGGCATCCCCCCCTCCCCGTTCGATACACACACACACACACATGCTTGATCTACACAGACATACACACTGAAGGCACCAAAACCAACACCCACAACTTGGAAGATGCACATTTATAGACCGCACCGGCGGAGAGCACCACTCATTTTCAAAAAAAGCCAACGCCAACCCAAAATCCGCCGTTCAAGAGGCCTACCGCAAATTCACACCCATCTCCGGTTTGCCTGCACAAACTTCACCAAAACACCGCAATATCTCTCTTACACACACACACACTCGCTCTCCTGCGCTGGACAGCATCAAAAGGCCACCAGATATTTTCCCCCCTAAAAAACAAACACCTCTCACCTTTGCACTGAAAACACCGATTTGTCCAGAATTAAAAAAAAAAATTTATGATGATTATAAAGAGCAAAAACAACAATCCCCCCCCCACTCTGATTTTGTTAAATAAAACATCGTCCTTGATTTTGGGGGGGGAGGTCCCACTCCCAACACACTTTCCAGGAAATGGGTTGACTGAAGAGGGATAAAGGGAAAGAAAGAAAAGTTTGACAAGCGGATTAAAGGGCAGACTTTTGAGGGTGAAACTGACACAGGTCCTTATAAAACCCTTATCAGTTACACTTGAAATTGACTAGATTGGGGGAAATGGTAAAAAAATGCTATTTCTTTTTCCCTTCGCTTCCCCCCCCCCCTTTCTCCTCTGGGATTTGCAGCCCCAAAATGAACCACGATTTAAAACTTGGGCGTGCCTTCCCTCTTCCTCCCCAAACCCATCCCCTCTTTATAGCAGAAAAAGCAGCAAGAAACCAAGGGAGTTCCCCCCTTCCCCACTTACTTTTTATTTGCTGTATTCCAGTATATAGGCTCCAGGCTCACAGCTGATATAACCCACAGTTCCAGCAAGGAAAACAGTAACCCTATAGAGAGTCCGAGCAATGAAGTCCTCAATGCCATGACTGCAAAGGAAAAGGAATGTTTTTACTCCTCCTCTGTGTTTTCTTCTTGAGATTCACACACACACACACACACAAATCAAGAGGCTCCCAAAGACTTTGCCCCCCATCTGCCAGCCCTAGGCTAGATAAAGTTTTATGGATTTTTCACCCCCACCCCGCCTGGATTTTTCATGCCAGAACTGGAAAGTTGGTTGTTTTGTGTGTGTGTGTGTTGTTTTTTTCTTCAAGATCCTAATGCCATCTTCAGCCTTGGAGAAAAATACATCTAGACACACACACACACAGAGAAAATTCGCCTCCACTTCTCTTGTGTGTGTCTTTCTGGTCTGATCTCCTGAGCAGGGAGGACACAGAGTTGTAAAACACAAGGAAGGGAGGGAGGGGGAAGGAATTCATTTGAAAGCCCCCTCCTGGACTCCTTGTCTTTGGTGAGGTTTTTTTTTCTTCTTCTTTTCTTTCTCTTTTTTTTTGAAGGTTCGGCATTGAGTAACTCCAGAGATGAGGACAGAGAATGGGAGTTAGCAGAGAGGAGGAGGAGCAGGAGAGAAGAAGTGGTGAATGGGAAATACTGGAGGAAAGAGAGAAAGAGAGAGACAGGGGCACACACACACACACACACACACAGAGACTAGGATCTGGAGTCTGGACTTTAAGGAAGACGTGGAATCCGGATTCAGGTATAAAATTCTCCCCAGTGAGTAGCACACACAGAAACCAGCAGAGCCAGCCAGCAAGGTTGCTTGAAGACAGGAATATTTTGCAGCTCAGTTCGCTCGGCCTCTCTGCTTCCCTGTCAGGACTAATCAGAGACACTGTCGCTTCTTGACCAAAAAAAAAAAAAAAGAGAGAGAGAGAAATCAGGGTCCTTTTCCCGAGCCGCTTTGCGCAGCGACGAAACAGAGAAATGTCGCCAAGCCTCGATTTATTCGTCAAATGCCCAGCCCGGTTCTTTGTGTGTAGGGAAAGGTGGATTTGTGTTAGAAAGTCACTTTTCATCCGGTGAGGGAGACCGTTTTTTTAGGGGGAGGAAGATGCGGGGTTGGAAATCGGTCTGGGATCAGAAAGGGACCCAAGAAACAAATCTTCCGATTTTGGCCCTCGGAGCAGGCGGGATGGGTTTTCGTTGGGGCTCCCAGGCCAGAGAGTCGGGGAGCGTCTGGGGCCTGGGAAGTGCCTTGCTGAAGCAATATTTGCGAGGTGGGATTTCTCCATGAGAATCGGGGGGATCAATTAAACAAGCAAGAACCCCCCTCGATTGCCAAATCTGGTTGGAGATGAATCCAGTGGCTTTCGAAACCTCACACAGATTCGAAGACCGTTTCCAAGCCGCTGGGCCCATCGAAGAGTTTCCCCGGGGGCTGTTCCTTTGCCGAGAACAACTCGCAGATGTTAAACCGGCCGGGAAACCCTTTCATTAAAAATTCAATCCGGGATCTCCGGGGTTTGCTCGTTTTAAGGGCAGCGGCGGATCCTACAAACGGGCGGATCCTTGCGGCCGAGGGGCTTTCCCGAGACAGGAGTTGCCCGGATTGGGATCTTTGACTGGGCCTCTGGGATTTCTCGGCCCGTCGGGCTTCCAGGGTTTTGATGTTCGCTGGGGTGGGGGGGTCAAACGGGCCAGGCGGGATCCGGAGGCTGAGGCGGGAAGCCAACCAGCATTAGCAGGCGTTATTGGGGTTCCCCGACGGGCCTGGGGAAAAGGGGGTGTGATTTTAGTGTCAGGAGCAGGGAGGGGGATTTTCGACATGTGGCTCTTGAGCCGGGGAGAGAACCCAGGAGTCCGGGCTCCCAGCCCCCCCTGCTCTAACCACCAGCTCCCACTCCCCTCCCAGAGCCGAGGAGAGAACCCAGGAGTCCCGGCTCCCAGCCCCCCTGCTCTAACCCACCAGCCCCCACTCCCCTCCCAGAGCCGGAGAGAGAACCCAGGAGTCCTGGCTCCCAGCCCCCCCGCTCTAACCCACCAGTCCCCACTCCCCAGTCCTGGCTCCCAGCACCCCCCTCCTCTAACCCCCCAGCGCCGGGAGAGAACCCAGGCGTCCGGGCGCCCCGCAGGGCAGGCTGGAGCAGCATAGAGCTGAGTTTGCTTTGGGGAAACTGCGATTTGGATGCAACTCTTCACAGCATGTTGTTCCCAAGGCACAATCCGCAGCTGCGTGAAGCCGTCTGCCCCCATGTGCCGCCCAGCTCCCGCCGCGAGCCAGGAGCCGCTGATGGGACTTCGTGTTTAACAGACTCCCCAGCCCCACTCATGTCATGCGGGGCGGAGGGCTCAGCAGGGGGCGCTCTCCCCTGGCAGGCAGGGCTGGCCCCAGGGCGG